TTGAGCTCAAAAAACACGCATGTGAAATTTTGATTTTTGCCCGAAATTTTTCCAAGGTTGGAGGTCGATTTTTGAAAAAAATTAAATTTTCTCAAAATGACTTAAATTTTACATCATTTTCAGCTCACCGACGCGAAGAATGCATCGAACTCATTGAAAAACATGCTAGAAGTCTCAGATCCGAAATACAAGTCATTTTCGGGACATTTTAAGCGTTTTTTGAGCGTTCACGATCTTTAGCCGACGATTTCATCCTCATTTTTGATCAAACACTTTATAAATGCATATTTGGGACCTTCTTGCGTCGAAAGGAATCGATTGAGCTTAAAAAACGCGCATGGAAATTTTGATTTTTGCCCGAAAGTTTTCCAAGGGTGGAGGTCGATTTCTTGAAAAAATAAAAATTTTGATAAAATTGCTTATATTTTACATCATTTTCAGCTCACCGATGCAAAGAATGCATCGAACTCATTGAAAAACATGCTAGAAGTCTCAGATCCGAAATACTAGTAATTTTCGGCATATTTTAAGCATTTTTTGAGCGTTCACGATCTTTATCCGACGATTTCATCCTCATTTTTGATCAAACACTTTATAAATGCATATTTGTGACCTTCTTGCGTCGAAAGGAATAGATTGAGCTCAAAAAACGGGCATGGGAAATTTTGATTTTTGCCCGAAATTTTTCCAAGGGTGGAGGTCGATTTTTTTAAAAAATTAAAATTTTGATAAAAGGGCTTACATTTTACATCATTTTCAGCTCACCGACGCAAAGAATGCATCGAACTCATTGAAAAACATGCTAGAAGTCTCAGATCCGAAATAATAGACATTTTGGGCACATTTTAAGCGTTTTTTGAGCGTTCACGACCTTTAACCGACGATTTCATCCTCAGTTTTGATCAAACACTTTATAAATGCATATTTGGGACCTTCTTGCGTCGAAAGGAATCGATTGAGCTCAAAAAACGCGCATGGGAAATTTTGATTTTTGCCCCAAAGTTTTCCATAGGTGGAGGTCGATTTTTTGAAAAAATTGAAATTTTGTTAAAAGGGCTTAAATTTTACATCATTTTCAGCTCACCGACGCAAAGAATGCATCGAACTCATTGAAAAACATGCTAGAAGTCTGAGATCCGAAATACTAGTGATTTTTGGCATATTTTAAGCATTTTTTGAGCGTTCACGATCTTTAGCCGACGATTTCATCCTCATTTTTGATCAAACACTTTATAAATGCATGTGAAATGTTGATTTTTGCCCGAAAGTTTTCCAAGGGAAGAGGTCGATTTCTTGAAAAAATTAAAATTTTGATAAAAGGGCTTAAATTTTACATAATTTTCAG